ACTACAAAGAGGGGAAATGTCATTTGTCCAGTATAATTGTTTTCAAGATTTTGGAGCGTCTGTAATCTAGTGTATGCATTGGATCTTATCTATGTTTCTGATTAGGTAAAACTTCATCTTCACATCTTCTCTGATATGCTGCACTTCTTCTAATCAACGAAATAGATAGTACTCACTTAAAGGTTTCTGACATCTCACCTGGCTGCCTTGGGGATGCGCATAAAACACTCAACACTGCTAAGTCAGCATTCAATTTGCACTGTTGCTCTTTTTCTTGTGTGTGGATAAGGTGTTTTTCATTTCTTGTCTTAGAAACGTAAAGAACAATTTCTTTTCCTGTTTTATAAACATCTCTCTTTGTTATGTTCGAAAGTATGTGTGATCTTAAACAAATTTTGATAGATAAGCTATGCATTTATCCAGAAAACTTCTTGTTGAATATGTCAATTCCGATGACTAGTATTGAAACATGCTAAAGAATGTCCCCTCACTAGACTGTATTAGTTAGAGGGACATACTCTAATTTTAAAACTAATCTGGCCTAGAATATAGTTTCATGTGCTGTTAAAAAGGACAAACCTTATGTTGGTTTGTTCGCTGTTGATTTTAAATGGTGTTGCCAAGTGGCTTTTGAAAGAACTTGTATGCCTGCATCTCTGTTCTTATGCCGAAGTACTTAATTTCTTCTTTTTCTCCAGAGAAATCTTAATAGGGAGGAGAAATCCGATCATTTAAAAAACTTAGAAATGTTAAGGGGTCAGGAAACTCTAAGAATTACTTCTTCACGACAACTTCTGTTGATAATTACTTCCTAGTATTATTTTCAAACCATGAAAAAAGTGCATATTAGGGATGAAAAGATCATTTTAGATTACAAACAGCTATAAACTATGCCTTTCTGGTAAATGCTTATAGAAGAACTTAGTACAGTTGGAATTGGATAAAGAAACTGGCCATTGAATTTCACAAACAGACTGCACATTGATACATCTTTAAGTAATATAGATAGCTTATACTTTATTTATCAACTGCTTATTCCTATAAACCATATTGTTTCAAACAACAGATAGTCTGTAATTGCGGCAATACAATCAACATTTATACTTAAAACTTCCCGTAACCTTGAGCTTGGATCATCGAGAGCAAGAAGAAGCACTTGGAATCGCTTTAGCTGCATGGAGGTGGCTGAGGATTCTTGGGTTTCATTTGATCTGCAGCAGGACTGGGGCCAAGCGTGAGTTCAAGTTCAGGTATTTGATTAATTCTTGCTGCTGCTAGTCTCTGTTTAAGCTCAGAATACAAAGCTTCGTTCTCCTGTCTGAGCCGTTGAGCAGTCTTCCTTAGCCTGTCATTCTCCTGCATAATCTGAATATTCCGCCAGTACAAGTCTAAATTCTGTTTCTCCATAACTTGCTTGAGTTGGCCTGAAACTGGAGAAACCATTAAAAATTATGAACAGTTCTGCAAGATATATTTTGAAAACATAGCCTAACAGATTATGCAAAAAGAGAAGATGATGTCATAGTAAATTTTTCTTATCTACATATGCATGACATAAGTTTATACACAGTATATTGACCAAAAGATTGCAGAAAATTTATAAAAAGTTCCATAGTGATTTATTTCTATGGGAAAAATAAGATGGAATAGTAAATGTAAAACGATGAAAAATTGGATCTGAATCTAGCCCTGCTTTGTCTCATGAAATTTGAGTCATAGAAGGCAAGAGTCAGCGGATATTTTAGAGGGTACTCTTGATACACTTAGCAAGTAACCAGCTTCAAAGAAGGGAAGCAATTTTGAGACCAATGGAAAGAAGGAAAACTAGTTTTGCAACAACACTTGAAAGTTCTTTGTGTAAGGACACTTACTTATGAATAGAGAACAGGCTCCGAACCTTAAGATTCAAAAGCTATTAGAGGGCAACTGGTTTTGGTTGGAGTCTCTTTGATATTCGTGCTTATTTATACTACTATTTTATTACTTTTATGGATGGACAAAGAAATACTAGAAGCAGCACACGAGAATGGCACTTGTAGTTCAAGAAAGGCTCCCGAAACCAATTCGCAAAGCCCCCTTTATTCCTCCTTTATTCTCACATAAAAAACACGTCACATTTTTAGTCAAGAAGACGCTTCATCGATGTTTCTGTTAGAAGGAAAGAAAATTGTTGCTCAAAGTGGTTTTTGCATGTGGATTTTGCTTGTTTAGTTATGTAAAATTAGTTATAAAGCAGCATAAAGGATGATATTCCTGAAGAAGCAAATACTTGATCAAAGGGAGAAATAGCATGGGAGACAGCGAGAACTAGGGGGGCGGGGGGGTGAATTGTGAGATTTTGATATTCATGAGAGGAACCTGAATGTAAGTAGCAAAAGAATAAGCATTCAGTGAATTTAACAGAATCAACTCATACTTTTTAAAGCTGATTTGCCTAAGCCATGAGTAGATCACAATAATTATGAGGAGTAGAATTTTGTTACTGTTAATCTGTCTAGGCTATGTTGTTTTTGGCAATTACAATACAAGAGAATCCCTCCTTTTTTGGAACATAACTGATTAATTCATTACACCTATTAAAGAAAATATTGAAGTGGTTAACATATATGGTGTATGGTAAACTCTATTGAAAGTGAATAAAAATTAAAGAAATTGAAAGAAAATCTTGAGTAGTTAGTAAGTATGGATTCAAGTATTATTTTTGTTTTGGAGAGTTACTTGAATTCATTATGTATTACTTTCTTTGTTTTTAATTTGGAGAATATTTGAAAAACAATGTTGGAACCTAATGTTTTGTGAATTTTATCTCATTGTGACCTCTGGTCATGGGTTCAAGCCGTGGAAACAACCTCTTACAGAAATGTGGGGTAAGGTTGCGTACAATAAACCCTTGTGGTTCAGCCTTTTCCCGTACCCCGCGCATATCGGGGGCTTTAGTGTACGGGGCTGCCCTTTAGATTTATCTCATTGTGATTACAGAAATGTCTAAACTTTCAAATTTTTCTTTGGTTTAATCATATGGTATTTGAAATTTGTTGGTCTGATTTATTTTGTATACGTGTTGAGTAAGCTAATTAAGGGAGGTAAAATGCTCTCTGTTAAGAAGTTCTTCATTCCTAGGGTCCGAACTTGAAACCTCTCGTTAAGGGGAGTTTTCATTACTGGTGACAATTGGCTCCTTCAGTACAGTACAAATATAAAAGTGGAGAAGTCGAGAAAATATGTGTAAATATTCACATTATAAAAGGGAATTTCATCATTATAATTTATATTGCTAATTATGTTTCGACTCATATAAGTTGTTGTCGGTTGTTATTGTTGTTTTACTCGTTATAGGGAACGGATTTCAAGGGCAACAAAGCCCCTTAGATAGGACTTCATCTATGGCTAGAAGATATTTTCTTTCTATTATTGTTTTACTCGTTATAGAGAGCGGAATTCAAGGGAAACAAAGGCCATTAGGTAGGACTTCATCTATGGCTAGAAGAGATTTTCTTTCTATTATTGTTTTACTCGTTATAGAGAGCGGAATTCAAGGGAAACAAAGGCCCTTAGATAGGACTTCATCTATGGCTAGAAGTGATTTTCTTTCTATCATTGTTTTACTCGTTATTAAGAGCGGAATTCAAGGGAAACAAAAGCCCTTAGATAGGACTTCATCTATGGCTAGAAGAGATTTTCTTTCTATTGTTGTTTTACTCGTTATAGAGAGCGGAGTTCAAGGGAAACAAAGGCCATTAGATAGGACTTCATCTATGGTTAGACGATATTTTCTTTCTATTATTGTTTTACTCGTTATAGAGAGCGGAATTCAAGGGAAACAAAGGCCCTTAGATAGGACATCATCTATGGCTAGAAGAGATTTTCTTTCTATTATTGTTTTACTCGTTATAGAGAGCGGAATTCAAGGGAAACAAAGGCCCTTAGAAAGGACATCATCTATGGCTTGAAGAGATTTTCTTTCTATTATTGTTTTACTCGTTATAGAGAGCGGAATTCAAGGGAAACAAAGGCCCTTTGACAGGACTTCATCTATGGCTAGAAGTGATTTTCTTTCTATCATTGTTTTACTCGTTATTGAGAGCGGAATTCAAGGGAAACAAAGGCCCTTAGATAGGACTTCATCTATGGCTAGAAGAGATTTTCTTTCTATTGTTGTTTTACTCGTTATAGAGAGCGGAATTCAAGGGAAACAAAGGCCCTTAGATAGGACTTCATCAATGGCTAGAAGAAATTTCCTTTCTATTGTTGTTTTACTCGTTATTGAGAACGGAATTCAAGGAAAACAAAGGCCCTTAGATAAGACTTCATCTATGGCTAGAAGAGATTTCCTTTCTATTGTTGTTTTACTCGTTATAGAGAACGGACTTTAAGGGAAACAAAGGCCCTTAGATAGTAATAGGACTTCATCTATGAATAGAAGAGATTTTCTTTCTAGTAGAACTCATCACTAAAGTTGTTAACTAATTCAAAATTTTGAGTGCTCATAGAATCACCCTGAACTATCATGAACTCATATTAAAAAAATACTCAAGAGAAGAATATAACATGATATGTGAACATAACACTCCAAAAGCTCCTTTGAAGAGTTTCAAGAGGCCGTACACGTAGATTTTTTTTTTTTTGAGCGAATACGATAAAACTCCCCCTATATTATCATCTTTTGTTAGTTTCACACCTAAACTATTGAATGTTCATAGAAACTCCCCCTTCCCTCGCCCCAAAGTCATGAACTCATTATGTCAGGTGGCATATAGTCAAGTTTGGTTCAAATTTTAAAAAATTAGATGTACTAATATTTCAAGCCATAATGATCACCTTAAAAAGGAAATGTAAGTAGTCAATGTTTAACCAATTAAAAGTTAAACTTGTAATAAATTCAATATGTAAGTATATACAGCTAGAATTAATTAAAATGCAAGATATAGAGTATCAAATCTGGATAGAGATACCTTTTAGAGAAAAACAGTAACGGATCACTACATTATCACTAAACTTAATTTTGTTAATAAATTTATTTATATCCATATAAGATGGCTCATTTTAAACTCAAAATAGAACTCAATAAACGTGTGATAATAAGACAGTTAATCTACATCTTACCATTTTGCATAATAATTATTAATAGAGGCATTTAGTTAAAGCAAAGATATGATAAGCTTGAAATATATTGATGTAATTACTATTTCTAGCAAGTTGATATGATCTTCTAGTAGAACTATGAGTTGGTTGTTTGAATTTGTAAATTTTAATGCCATGGAATCATTAATTTTCCATATTTGGAGGATTTTGTATTTATAACATTGTCTATTTAAAAGATAATATTCTCTTCATTCTTTCATCAAGTTAATTTCATTTCAAGAACATAAACATAAGTATAGAGAGACAAAATGGATATTTTTGCGATGAAAAAGCCATCTTCTTTTGAGGCTTCTAGCATATCGGCAACCTCAGAAGAATCTCATGAAGTTGTCACAAACACTAAGAAAACAAAAGAAGAAGTTGTGGAAGGCTCGCAATTGAAGCCATATGATGTATCATCTGTTGGTGTACGTCTTGATCTCAAAGATCATGATGGTTACAACAACAACATAAATACTAATTGTTCAAATCATGAACTCAATCTTTTTAGTTCTACTCCGGCTCATGCTAGTGAGTCTTCCAACGAGGCAAAGCCCAAGCAGAGGCGTTCCTCGGATGCTAAGACTTTCTCTTGTAACTTCTGTAAGAGAGAATTCTCCACTTCCCAAGCCTTAGGGGGACACCAAAATGCTCATAAACAAGAGAGGGCATTGGCTAAAAGGAGAAACGGTCTTGTTGATGTTGTTTCACCTTTTGTCCCTCACAATTATCATCCCTACTACAATCCCTACTCAAATTTCAACGCGCGCATACCATTTCATGGTTCTTTTGCTTCTCGATCATCGCTTGGTGTTCAAGGAGATTCTCCTGCTATTCTTAAGCCTACTTCCTATCAGAAATGGCCATTTTTTTCCAGCTACAATTTTCCATTTAACCCTGAGAAGTGGTCATCGTCATCATCAAGTTCATCATTTTTTAGGACAGAAAATCTCCAAGAAAATTATAACATGGGTAAGATTGGAACAGGAAGTGCTTCTTTGGAGAATTCCCCTTATTTTGAGAACAAAAAAAGTGGAAAGGGTTTCAATTTAGTGAATTCACCTATCGATGTTGATAATCTGGATGGAAAAAATTATACGAAAATGAAATTAGGAGAGGAGGAAGAAGAAAAGAATAATGAAGAAGAAGAGCTTGATTTGAATCTAAAGCTTTAATTTACTTATTGCTTTGACTTATTTTGTTATTTCATGAAGGTTTAATTTTATTTGTGCATTGTTTTTATTAGAAAACATGTGATATATGTTAATTCCCATTTTCTTGTAGTTTGATTTGAATCACTCTCTTTACTTCTTTTTTTCTTTTTGGATATATAGTTGAAGTGGCTTCGTATTTGTTGGAACAAAGAGATATGTTAAATCTTTAAATTAAGACCCATGATTGTTTAATATTAAAAACATTTATAGTATATTTCAAAAGGAAAACCAAGATTTCAAACCGCATAAGTGAGTGATGATGATCTGAATTGAGACGTAATTATTGTTGTTATATTGAGTCATGACGTGCAAAATCTTATTTCGGAATATGGCTTTAATTCCCACTTAGGATCAAAAGTATGGATCCAAGTACTATATATTATTTTTCTTTATTTTTGTTTTGGAGAGTATGTGAAAACATGAAGGAATTAGGATGTTTTGAGAATTTTAATTATAGATTAATCTGACATGCTACGTGAACATCACACTTCAAAAGCTCCTCCAAAAGTATTTTTAGTATCAGCACACATAGAAAAGAATTTGAGTGAATAAGTTAACTCTCCTATTTATAATATCACTGTTTGTGAATTTCATATCTAAAATTAGGTATCATAGAAACTCCCCATGTCTCGAACTACCATGAACTCATTATGCCATGTGGACTCATTGTTAAAACTTTTTTCATTCTCACACACCTCTCAATAAGTTATTTCAAATATTTTGTCATACAGAGGAATTTTTAATCTAAACAGAGTTAAACTTAATGTGGAACAACAAAAAAAAAAACTTAATAAAATTGGTCACCACATGACTAGGGGTGTTAAATGAGCGGGATGAATGACGAGTTAAATTAGGCGGATCAATGTCTTCCCCAGAGTTACTTGAGCTAAATGTTAATCATAACTTTAACCTGATCAATTCTTATTAAGTTTTAGTTATTTTGTTTAATTTTTTTATAGTTTGTTTAAGTATATAATAATTCAGTCCGCACAATTCAGTCTATTTAAAATTTAGGCAGTGAAAAACCTTGTTAAAATAATAGGGAAGATATCATTTTTAAAGTTGATTTAGGGTTCATATATTCACATATTGAATAACTTTATCGAGAAATATCATGAGCGAAAACTAAAAATTAAGTTATCCAATAAGCTAGGCTATTAAGGCTGAATATCTATCGATTTGTCAAGACTTACATTGCTTAAGCATTTCTACCGCTAAATTTAAGGATATTTTAGTCCGAATTTTTTTTTTCTATTAAACTTAAAAAGGTTATTTTTTAATCGTTGTTAAAATTATCAGGATATTGTATTAGTAAAATAATGCAATTCAATTGTGGAAATATCTTTGTAGAAAGAATTTGTCTATTATGTGCTTAAATATGTAAGTAATGTTTATGGTATGAGAAAAAGATATTGGCTTAATGCTGTGAGATAGCGTATAGTTAAAAGTTTGATTCAAAAATTTTAAAATCAGATTTCAAAATCATAATACTCACCTTAAAAAGGAAATGTCATTAATCAATTTCAATAGTTTAAACTTGTAAAAAAATTAATACGTATATATATACAGCTAGAATTAATTAAAATGCAAGATATAGAGTATCAAATCTTAATAGAAAAACAGTAACGCATCACTACATTCATCTAGAGATTATGCACTAAACTAATTTTAGTTAATAAATTTATTTATATCCATATAAAATGAATCATTTTAAACTCAAAATAGAACTGAATAAATGTGTGAGAATAAGACACTTAATCTCCATATTACCATTTGTATAATAATAGTGACATTTAATTATAGCAAGATATGATAGTTTGATATACATTAATGTAATTAGTATTTCTAGCAAGTTGATTTGATCCTCTAGTAGAACACCCCATTAACTATGAGTTGGTTGTTTGAATTTGTAAATTTGTAACGCCATGCAATCATTAATTTCCCATATTTGGATGATTTTGTATTTATAACATTGTCTATTTAAAAGATCTATCCTCTTCATTAATCTTTCATCAAATTAATTTTCAAGAACATGTATAGAGAGGAAAATGAATGTTTTTGCGATGAAAAAATCATGTTCTTCTGAGGCTTCTAGCATATCAGCAACCTCAGAAGAATCTCATGAAATCGTCACAAAAACGAAAAAGATGAAAGAAAAAGTTGTGGAAGGCTCACAGTTGAAGCAACATGAATCATCATGTGCTGGTGTACTTGTTGATCTTAAAGTCCACAACAACAACAACATTAATACTAATTGTTCGAATCTTGAACTCAAACTTTTCAATTCTACTCCAGCTCGTGCTAGTGAGTCTTCCAACGAAGCAACACCCAAACAGAGGTGTTCTTCGGATGCTAGGACTTTCTCTTGTAGCTTTTGCAAGAGAGAATTCTCCACCTCCCAAGCTCTAGGGGGACACCAGAACGCTCACAAACAAGAGCGGGCTTTGGCTAAAAGACGAAATGGACTTGTTGATGTTGTTTCGTCTTTTGGCCCTCCTAATTATCACCCCTACTATAATCCCTACTCGAGTTTCAACTCACACATACCATTTCATACTTCTTTTCCAACCCGATCATCTCTTGGTGTTCAAGGAGATTCTTCCATGATTCATAAGCCTACTTCCTATCCAACATGGCCATTTTTTTCGGGCTACAATTTTCGATTGAACCCTGAGAAATGGTCGTCATCATCTTCAAGCTCATCATTTTTTAGGACAGAAAATGTCCTAGGAAATAATATTCTTAGTGCTTCTTTGGAGAATTCTCATTTTGAGAACAAAATCAATTTAATGAATTCACCAATCAATCTTGACGATAGTCTTGATGGAAATAATCATACAAAGATTGGATTGGGAAAGGAGGAAGCAAAAAGGAACAATGAAGAAGAAGAAGAAGAATCTAAGCTTGATTTGAATCTTAGGCTTTAATTTAATTTGATTTGCTATTTTATAGAGGTTTAATTTTTATTTGCTTTTATTTAAATGTGTAGTATTATAATTCTTATTTTCTTGTAATTTGATTTGAATCCGTGAATCATTCTCTTTATCTTTTAAACCCCCTTTTTTTTGGAAAATTTGAAGTTTCATGTTAGACTAAAGAGATGTGTCGTTTTTATATTTGTGTCTTTTTTGTAACTAAACTTTTATAAGACGAAATAGGTCAGTTCAATTTGTGTTAAGACAAAAATCTTTAAATTCAGATTCATGACTATTAAAAACATTTTTAGACATAATTCAAAAAGGAAAGATAAGATTTTGGACAGAATAGTGAGTTATGATGACTTAGGAGTTAGGACTGAGATATAGTTATTGTTTTCAACTTTTCATATAATATATTGCACACGTCTATATAATAGATCTTGATTATCCTCTTTGCTTTTTCATACATTTACTTTTTCTATATTTTGAATCTCCTAGTGAAAATTCTGATTCCGCTACTATTCTTCCTCTTAGAAATTCTCATCGCGTGGACATATATTTGAAATCCCCAACAATTGAACCATTATCTAATGAAATTTTGTTGCATGGTGTACTACGCTTTGAACCAATTCATTCCTTTTAACTAGCAGTTTGTATATTCATACAAACGAAATTTATGTCCAAGGATAGCTTTGATGGATAAATTGGGATCAAGTTGGTTGAGTGTATATAGTAGCTTAAAGGGCCCGCGGCCACGCGTCTCTAGCTCATTGCGTGGATCGTATGGAATAGATAAGGATATCTCATAGAATTAGCTATCCTACGACCTACCTTCTTATGAGATGGATAGTCTCATCATTGTGATACAAAATGATTTCCCGAATTAATTAATACTCATAATCAAATGTGGGGTAAAATAATCCTATAGAATATTTTAATATTTTTTTTATTGACTTATCCCACCGATCAAACCACCCCTAACTTTACATTACAAGGAGAGAGTCACTTTGTGTAAATAGACCCCACTATATACAAGGTAACAATTCCTCACCTTTGATTCAAAGTTTTTTTTTTCTTGGGAAATTATTGATTTAATATATTAAACAATCTATTTAGAAGTTGAGATTCCTTTCGTTCCTCAATTTGTTTTAAAAGGAAATGAAGAAGGAATCAAGATAGGAAAATCGAACCTTCACCAATCAGCAATCACCAACCAGGCAAGTAACATTAAGATTTCCCTATTAATCCATTTATGTTGTAGTTCATGTCATATTATTACTATTAATTTATTTATTCTCAATTATTTTGCTTGCGAGTAGCACAAATTGTAGGGTTGATTTCTGAGTTATTATCTCATAAAATCGCTTTTCTTCAATAAATGAACTTTTTGAGCTAATAATTATTAGTTGAGCTAATATTCGAGAAATCAACTCACGAATTATATTATGTTACGATAAAGTAGTTAAGTACGTTTGCTTGGTGGATCAAAACCTGTACCTACCACTAGAGCCGTCAATATGGGCTAGGCCCGTTGGGCCGGCCTGGCCTAACCCGGGATTTAATAGGGCTGGGCTAAGATTTTTGGAGTCCATTTAAGAAAAGGGTTTGTTAGCCCGGCCTGAATAAGCCTGCTGATTTGTGGGGCTTGAGAAATATAGGTAGGGCCGGCCCGTGGGCCAAATAAAAATAATTTTAAAAATATAATATAATATTAAAATTTAAAATTAAAGAGAGTCCAAACTCAAAATCTATTTAATATTTAACTAATTGAAACCGCATATAAATTGCAGATGAAAATAAAGGTGTTAAGACAACCTTGCCACAAGCTGATTCAGATATGCTTGATGAAGATGATCATGAAGTGTTGGATACGCCATAGATTTCATGATGTGTTAGATACGCCATAAGTTTCATGATTTTTTTAAGGAGTTTATTTTTAACTTTTTTATGGTTGGAATATTGTCACATTTTTTGTGTTTTAATGTGACAAAACAATTATGTTAATATTCCTATTTAGATATTTATACTTTTATTTGAAAAACC